TTTTTACAGTTTATTTAAAAATTTAATTGGGGCATATTTTGTTAATTCTATGGCCATCTTTTACTTAATAAATAAATTCTTTCAATCTTAGCCAAATAAATATATTCATGGTCCTAGAGGTGGCAAGGCATTAGCAACAAATAATTACCTACTTCAGTAGGAAATTGGATAGCACTTATTTTAATTGCCCTATCAATTTAAATCCATTTTCCATTTATTTTTAACAACTATCATAGTTAATTTAACAAAATCATTACATTTCTAACATAATTCAAAAGGTGTTACTTTATACTTAACTATGCATCATTTTTCCATTAATCACTTGTGTACTGTAAAAGCACATATTCAATAAAAGCATTGGGAAATGGAGTTAGTATTTGCTAATGTGTTTTTCATAATTGTTGTAGAAAATATCAAAAGTTATTATGATCACTTCATCAGTGGACTAGATGTATGATTTTTCAAGAATTTAAATCAATAAAATTATGGAAATTCTGTAACATCAAAGGCCTTAGGTTATTACCTTCATTTTCTAAATAATCTGCATATTAATAATTCTGATTTTAAATTCAATGAAAATATATGCTATGAGTATTATAGACACTCTGTATTCAGTCATTGTACAGACTCTGTATTCAGTCATATTCTGGAAGAAATTTTTTAGTCCTGTACACTTACAGATTCTATTAATCATTTCTTTAAAATGATCTCATCAAGATTTTATTAAATGATTCCATTCTTCTTACCATTGCATACTTTAATAAAAAAATATATGTTATAGTTTGGTAAAATTCATCTTTCAAAGTAGAAAATTGTCATTTTAAAAATAATTTTATATTCTGCCATTTGTTATAAAAATGATAAATTATATTCTCTATTCATTTTTTATAATGTATAGGGATGATTCACTTTTGATGTCATTAGCCTCACTTCACTTTATCACATTAAACGATAACAAGTATGAAAGTGGGACAGAGTCCAGAGATGAAAACTAGCATTTAGCTTCTTTTCCTTATCTCTGCTCTGAAATTATGACATAATATTCGACATGTATATCTTCCTTGTGGCTCCTGTCCCAGAATTTGTGCAATTTGCTAACAGCTCTATTTTTTCCTCCTACAATGTCAATAGTTGTCAGGTTTCTGCCCAATAACTCTGATAGTTCGGTATTCTATGCTAGAGTATCAGTAACAGTAGAGATGAGGGTATAGTCCCAACGGGAGCAGGACTGTCCCTGTGTTTTCCTGGATCACTTAGAGCCCTCTGAACTCTTTGGTGGATCTGTTCTCTGACCAGTCAGCTATTATAAACTAACTGGCTGAAGAGCAACAGCAGCGGCTCTGTGCACAGTCTTGAACTAGAACGAACTAATGTGTATGTGGGATTGACCAAAAGCTCTTTGTCTCAGTAGCAAAAACCCATAAGCCTTCAAATATCTGAAAGACCAAAATCAATTTCAAAGCATCCTTATTTTTATTTATTGCTGTTACAGTACAGTGAAGATAAATTTAGAAAAATAACTGTTAAAGTGTGATTAATTGTGTTTGTTTTTCCATTTTCTGTTCCTTTTCCACAGGTTTAGGTTTTAGCATTGCAGGAGGTGTAGGGAACCAGCACATCCCTGGAGACAACAGCATTTATGTAACAAAAATTATAGATGGCGGAGCTGCGCAGAAGGATGGAAGGCTGCAAGTAGGGGACAGACTATTAATGGTGAGTGTGACTCCCGGCATAACTGTGTGTGTGTTTGTAAAACTCTTGCTTTCAGGGGCCTGACTTAGCTTGCTCAGACTTCCATAACACACTATAGACTGTGTGGCTGAAACCAGCAAAATTTATTTCCTTACAGTTTTGAAGGTGGGGAGGTTGAAGGCTCAACCTATTAGGTTTTGGTGAAGTCTGTCTTCTAGTTTGCAGATGGCTACCTTCTGAATTCATTCTCACATGGCCTTTCCTAAAAGCTCATGCTGACAGAAAGATCTCTTTCCTGTTATTACAGGGCCAGCAGTATCGTCAGACGAGAGCCCCGCCTTTAATTCATTTTATCTTCATTACTTCCTAACGACCCTATCTCCAAGTGCAATCACATTTACAACTTCCACATATGAATTTGGCATCAGGGCACAATTCAGTGCGTACATTGGCCATACACAAAAATAAAAAGAGACCAGGTTTCAACAAAAGACAGCTCAAAAGTACACATACATTATGTCTGATTTGCTGATGTTTTTAAAACAGAAATTGAAGTTTCCATCATTTTTAATACACACATGGCATAGAGATAAGATGATTTTCCAGTCATCTCCTATTAGCTATAGTAATTGTTTCCAGTCTGCTAGAGAAAGGGATTTCTCAAGAGGTGCAGCATTATCTGGTTTACTAATATGAATGTGTTCATAGTTATTTTTTTGACTAGGGACACAACCCCAGTAGACACAGCTCCTGGCTTTGTGGCTTCTGGCACATGTGTAAATGGATTCCTTTCTCCCTTCCCTCACACTGGATTATGGCTAAAGTATTGTGTTTGCCAGTTGCCTACAAGGTTCAGGAGTCCTGGGCAGTGACTGATACCAACCCACTCTGAGCTATGGATTGTATAAGAAACTAAAGCAAAATTAAAGCAATTACAAATAGGATACCACATGGATATAACTGTTCCATCTCCACTGCTATTATATTCTGAATCTACAAGATAATCACAATCAAATATTAAAAATTCATAGTAGACAACCTCAAGTAAGATGAGATATCTAGTAACATGTCTGCCCTTCTAAACCAGGGTTTTTTCACTTACGTCTACAAGGAGCCATTGCTTCTAACACTTTCTTGAGAAGTGTCTGTACCATCTCAACAAGAAAGTAGTTTCCACAATGTGTGCAAATAGTGGAGGTTAATTCCAAAAGTTTATATTCATGATGCCCATTTCTCTGAGTTCTAGAGAGCTTGTCTTCAATCCCAGCAGTCTTATTTTGTGGTTATTGACAATGTTTGTGCTAAATTACCTATATAAGACTTCTATAATAATCTTGATAGCTACTATTTATTTAGTATGTGCTTTGCTTATATGCTATTTAAAGTTTTTGCAATGTATTTTGTAGTGCTATTTTTGTAATGTAACATATATTTCTCACAAGTGGACATTTTGTATAAGCAAAGGCAGCAGAGGCATAGAGAAGTTTATTAACGTGCCCATGGCTTTGTAGTTACGAATAGAAAGAACAGGATTTCCTACTGAGCAAACCTGGTTTGCATTCGTGATCATCAGCACCTTACAATCCTACCTCCTGTACTTGCTTTTTGCATTAGTCTCCTTGGATTTTTCATTCAATTCTTTCCTTCTTTCCTTTATTTTTTATTTAGTTATTCACCAACTCCTTTAACAAGTATATATAATCTATCTACCATATCCTAAGCAATAGCCATTATGCAGGAAGGAACACTGAAGGAGCAAAAAATGCTCCAAAAACTGATTCATTCTAAGTTTCAACTCACAAAGTTTGAACTTCTTTACAACTTGGAGTCACTACCATTTTCATTCTCATGAAATTCTGAAACATACTTTTTTCTGCTTCTTTGCTTTTGGGCTAAAAATTCTTTGCATGTTATCTCTTCTAACAGAAAAATTGTTATCAGGGTATATGAGCTAGAACATAAACTTCATTACGTGAAATGTTGATTTAGAATTACAACAAATCATCATAACCATCTTCTACGTAGCATTGAAACTGAAAAAGGAAGAGGACAGTTTGAAGTCATAACTACCTGAGATAGTGACTGAGTTTCCCACTGACACACTGTGCTGTAAGAGTTTGATTGTAGGCAAGTCTTCCTGTGGTGCTTCAACTATGCTATTGTAAATTTGTGCTAGATATGCGTGGATTTCTTTGAAGTTATGTTTAAATTTCTAGCTTTATTTTCAAATTCTCAAGAAAAAAATAAACTTCATCCAAATAATTCTGTCAAAGCATTTTGCAGGCACCATGCTATGCTGCCACTACAGGGTGCTTGAAACTCATTGAAGATATAATGATTTTAAAAATAGCTGTGACATAATTCTTAACTGTTTTGAGTTTTTAAGCCATTTTTTTTTTAAATGAACCTTCAGCAATAATAGGTCTTTCCTCTCTTATGTAAGGAAAACATAATTAGTACCTCCAAGGCAACTGGCAAGCTGAACCTGAAAATAAAAGAAAATGGCTTGCTTTAAAATATTCTGAAAGAAAAATAACGCTTAGTGAAGAAGAATAAAGAAAAAAATTAATGGAGCCCCCCCTAAAAGACCACTTATCTTGCTTCAGCCACAAAATACGTATTAATGCTCTTCCGTTTTTCTTTTCCACCTCCTCTTTCCCTCCCGTCCTTTTTCTTACTCCCCTGACTCTCCTCCCCCAAAGGAAGTACAATGATTTAGATCCTGTGATTTACCAGCTGTACCACACTCTAAATATTTTTCTCTAAATACACTGTTCTTTCCAAAGCAGTTTGCACCACTTCCTTCTCTCACTTCTTAGGAAAACTTCCCCCATATATTATTCAGTCAGAGTTCCATAAGTACACAGTTTAAAATGAAACTTTATTAATTTCTTTAGACTTTTGTGGCTGAATACCCATAATTCAGAAAACCTCCCAGAATTTCCCCTGCAGTGAGAATGCAGTCTTTTTTCCTCCTTTTAGAATCTTAGCAATAACCTTTTAAGTTTCTCAAATAAGGTTTCTGTCATGTTGGGCATCACCTGACTCATAGCATATATATTGGGCACTCTTTTTCTCTAAAAACTTTTTGTGTCTCAGAATTGAAAAGTATCTCTTTTTTTTTTTTTCTCTTTGGTGGTTCTGGGAATAGACCCTAGGGCCTCATGAACGCTAGTCAATGCCGTCTGATTAGAACTATCATTTGGAACATCAGAATCCTATAGAAACAAAGTAGTCCGTCACTTCTAATAGAGAATTTAATTCCTCTCCAAAGCTATCCATTAGGTACCAGCCATCATTTAAATCACATTGAAATATATTTCCCTAAAACTTTCTGCCTTTATTAATAGCTTTGTTCCTTGAAAGCAGAAGGCAGGGATTAATTCTTCTTCCACACAGGCATGAGTTTTATATTGCCACTTCCCCACGTCTCAGTCTTTTAAAGTGGTTTACACATTTTCTCTCACTTTTATGGTAAATTTTGCCACAGATTCATTTTTCTTCTGTACATAGATTATGCATAAAATTTATTTAGATTTCATATAATCTTATTTCCCACTTTTAAAAATCCAGGCAATCTTATAACAGCAGCCACTGAATTTATTTTACTATAAGGAAAAGTTATCCTCTGCGTTACCTTTGCAATAAGGCTTTTAGTGTTTCAAATGAGATTCCTATAATATCAGAACATGCTCACACTTCATGGCTTACTCAAATATATGGTATGTGTTCTTTTTAGTAAAATAATTGTGTTTTAATTTTTCTTGCTATTTACCACTAGAATTTTGTTTTGTGGAGTGCCAGTGACTTCTGAGTTTTATGGATTATAGCAATACCTTAGTGTTGTTGTCCTGGACCAAATAGGTTATCTTTGGGCCTTGACTTTCATGGAATAAATAGTCAAAAGTTAATGGCATGGAATATTTTCAAATTCTTTTGTATATTTTCACATGCTGCTTCCTTTAAAACCCTTCCATGGTGATACATAGAGCCAAATATATTATAGAAATGTGATCTTCTTTACCTTTTTCTGCATAATTCCAGAAATTTTGGATCCAAGATTGTTTGTCTTTCTACAGGGATAGAATTAGTTGCCAAGCTCCTTGACACATTGTAATTTAAGGTTTAATATCTTACACCTTTTTTTTCTATAACCTGTGTTTGACATTTGAAGAAAAATGTGTCAATGGTAGAACTCTATACCTTTCACAGAGAATGAGCCCAGGCTTTCCTTCTTTAAAGTGAAGTAGTAGAGAAGGGAAAAGCTAACAAAGGTATTGAGGTCAAGTGGAAAGACCATCGATTTGGACAACGGGGGAGCTGAACTTTACTCACAGGCAGGCACTTTTACTGCTTGTAAGTAAAGTTCAGCTTTATGCCACCAAAATACCTTAAGCAAATAGGGTGTATCTTTGGTCCTCTTTTTTTTAACCTCTGTCCCATAGTAGCATTGCCTCAGGTGAGTGTTTCCTAAAGTATGTTATGAAATGTTAGTCACATTCCCATGATACTTTAAATGCTTTGTAGCCAAGTAAGTTTGAGAAGTTCTGCACCTGCATCTCTCCCTACTGTTGATCTTCAGTGAACCCCAGCATATTAGAAGTTCTGTGATTCCTGCACTCAACAGACATTTAATTCTTATTAGTACTAAATCTTTCCAACTTACTTGTGAAATCCTCTTCATAAAGTAACACTGTACTTACAAAACACCTACGACTAGTGTTCAGTGGACCATACTCTAGGATGTGCTGTGCATAACATCTCTTATTTTTATTCCAAAATTAATATCTTCTGGTAAGGTCATCAGATAGATTTAGATCATATGAGTGGAAACTATGCAATATTTTGAATAAGCAGTAGCTGTAATATCTCAAATTAAAATTATTTTTGGTAGGTTTATGAAATTGGTTTTGTTCAAACATCAGTAATAAAATCATACTGGACAGTATAAATTGTGGAAATTATCTGGATGAGAAATAAGGCTTTAAAGGCCATTCATTAGTTATACCAACCAAGAACTA